CGGCTCTATACCTGTCTCTGGTAGGCCGTGGATTCGTATATTATTGCATCTGCTCCTATTTTCCAAGTCTTCCACTTGTTTGCGTAAAGTGAGGAGCATGTTACCCTGTCTGGTAACAGCCACCTCTGTCGCCCTGTGCTGCTCCTCACAGCCATGAGCCATCGTCTCCATTTCATCCACTCGTTGTTCTAGCGCAGTCAGATCTGTGCGGAGGCCAGCAAGTTCTTCACGTAGCGCCGCACGGAGTTCCTGCACCAGGGAGCCTGTGTTCGCCTTGGATAACATTTTAGCAGATATTTGGGTAAGTTCTGCCCGGATTCGGGCTAAGTCACTTGCCTGGGAATCCTCTGCCAGGGATTCCCCTGCGCTCTCCGAGCTCAGGGACGCGGGGGCCATCTTGGACGCGTGCTGCGGTCCTCTGAAATCCGACCGTGTGGCAACAAAATCATCTATCGGTCCCGTGCACCGGCGAGGGGAGCTAACCCCTGCTGACCCTAGAGCTAAGTGCTTCTTAGTCCGGACCATTATCTCCCGGGTTGTCGCTGTTTTTTTGCTGTTTTTCGGCCAGGGGTGCGGAGCTCGTTCACTGTGCGTCCTGCACCATGCTCGTCCAGGCCACGCCCCCCCACACATAGTTAGTTTGACACTATCATCTAAAATGTGCAGACCCTTAATTTGGTTGTTCGCTCTTATCGCTATTGCCAATGGCTCTATGGAAATAAGATATAGAAGTGGCGAGAGTGGGCACCCCTGTCTAGTCCCATTTTTTAGTTGGAACCATTCAGGGAAATACCTGCTACCAAAATCTTAACTGTTGGAGAGGTGTATAAAGTCATTATAGAATGGTTAATATCACAGCTTTAACCAAAAGCATGTAAGGGGCATCCAGGAACTGCCTTTTCAGCATTTAATGACAGAGCCAGAAGGGAGACTCCTTTTTTACAAGTCAAATCTATCACATCCACCAACCTTCTAATACCGTAGACCTAAGTTATATTTGCCGCAGACCAAACTTGGTCCTAGGGTATAATTGTAGGTATTGAATTACTTATTTTTGCTGCAATTACTGCAGAATACAACTTTATATCTGTATTTAACAGAGAGATGGGCCTATAATTTACAATTATTTCTGGGTTTTTATTTTGCTTGGGAATAGGTACTATATAGGCTTTTAACATTTCAAGAGGGATTGTACCTGTTGACATAATATTATTAAACATTCTACTGAAAACTCCCACTAAAATTTCATTCAATGATCTATAGAAGTAGTTGCTAAAGCCGTTGGGACCAGCGGACTTAGCTGTTTTTAGTTTAGTTTTTTAATATCGCTACATAGCTCATCCAGAGAAATAGGTTTATTTAATTGCTTTAATTGTTCTTGAGAAACCTTGATTATCTTGTATTTAGTGAAAAAGTCTGGTTAGTTTACAGGCATGTCTTTCTGGTGAATTATATAAATTTGAGTAAAATTCCTGAAATGCCTGACCTATTTTTGATGGAGCACGAATAGTATTCCACGTGGAGTTATTTATTTTATCCCTATGTACTTCACCATATATTGTTCTTTTTATTTGTAGATTTATATTATACCAGATTGGGCACACAGGTTGTATTGTTTCTATCTGGTTGTAATCCATAACCCTCTACCCCATTATATACTTCCCCATCCCAGGGACATAAATAATAATTCGTTTGTTCCATATTTTCTCAGTTTATTGCCTACTTCTACCGACGGTCTTGCCTTATTTATTTTCGGTCTAACTCTACGTATAAATCTGCCATACTCATTAAGTTTCTTTTTTCCCCCTGGTGACCTATTTTAATTAGATGACTTCTTATCGTGCATTTATACGCACACCAAATTGTAGGTAAAGAGATTTCTTTGCTATCATTTTCTTTGAAAAAAAAAAACCTCCATTATTTCTTTAATTAGGCCTAAATTTTGCTCATTCGATGTTTAAGAGACGTTTAAGATGAAGATGGGAGATGTTTAAGATGTAGCGCATGGTCTCTCTTGCTCCTCACACTAAGCTAGAAAGTAAAGTTGTTCCCGAAGTTCCAAGAGCGCAGAGCTCCAGTGTAAAGAAATGTCAAAACTGATGCAATGTGACAGTCAGCTTTATAAGTACTCAGCCTCACCCCCTGGTTTTCATTCCTCCTCCTCAGTGTACTTGTTCCGATCCTTCAATCTACTAGTTTTCCATATAGGGCAATACGATTCATGCGATCTCATGGGTGAGTCAGTATTTATTACACTCTATTGAGTTGTGTACCTTGCATACATGCGGTGACATAATGCTTGAATGCTGACCTACCCGAATGAACACAGAATACATATTACAATGTGATTTCCTGTAACAGTGTGATTTCCTGTTAGAGTGCAAAGCAAAGGGCAAACAATTAACATGGAGATTTACACCTTAAAGGAACACTCCATTGAATTGTTTTCACAATTTACTATATGTAAACTCAAAGTAAATGTACATTTTTTTTCAGTATGTTTTTTGACGATATATGACAAAATCAGTTTGCAAAAGTGCCTGGCATGCTGTCCTCAGCCTTTGCAAGGCTGAGGGGGCCGTTTCCCATATTTGCAGGGGAAACGGCCCAAAGGTACTTTGTTAGGGTAAAGGGAGCAAATGAGGTCCTGGGAGGCTGTGTGTTCCTCCAGTTTGGAGCATTGCTGCGCAATACCATGGCAAGGCTCTGACACAGCGCTCAGCTCGCAAGAGGAGAAGAGTTCCCTCGACACCACTAAACCACCAAGGCTTGCAAAGTGTCCTGTCCCCGTCCACCCAGTGACCCCCCAGGGGATATAAAGCTTTTATTTATTTCATTTTTAAATAAAAGTTATTAACTGTATTATAAAATAAATGTATAATAATATATATTTGCTCCCTTGTTATCCCCCACACAATGTAGGCTCTATGCACCCATCATACACACTGCACTTTTACACAAAATGCACCCCTCAACAGACTGCACTCCTAAACAAACACACTGCACACCTCACACACAGTGCAGCCGTCCAGCTGCACCCCTCATACACACTGCACCCCTATCCACACTGCACTCCTTCACAAACACACTGCAACCTCTACACAAACAATGCATCCCTCATACACACTGCATCCCTACATACACTGCACCCCTCACACCCTTCACACTGCATTCCTTATATACACTGCACCTCTACACACACTGCATCCCACTAACAAATTGCACCTATCGCTGCAGTCTGTGTGTATTTAGCAGTCTGTGTGTATTCAGCAGTCTGTGTGCACTGGTGTACATACCGCGGTCGGACGGGTCGCAGCTGCGACTGGGCCCGGCCCGGCCCACCAGGGGGCCTGGCCGCCCTGCGACCCGTGTATGTACGTCAGTTTGCCAACCTCTTCTCCTGGGGGGCCCAGGAGCTGGCCACCTCAGGGCCCCTGAGGCTGGCAGTGGTGTCACCGGGCGGGCGCGAGGGAACATTCTCCCCTGAGCGCTCTTTGCCCAGCTCCCTCGCGCGCACCGCAGTTATGCCGGAGCCGGAATATGACGTCACTCAGGCTCCGGCATCAGTAGGCGGCATGCGAGGGAGCTGAACAGGAGGATCAGTGCTCCCTCGCCGCCTGCAGTGACCGGCCGCCCAGCAGCCCTACTGGACCCAAGGGAAAACTGGAATCCACTCAGCACTCCCAAAGGTAGGGAGGCTGGGGGATTAAATTTAAAAAAAGTCAGTGTGTGTGTGTGTTACTGTGTGTGTCTGTTACTGAGTGTGTTAGTTGTGTGTTAGTTTGTGTGTGTCTGTTATTGAGTGTGTGTCTGCTAGTGAGTGTCAGCATGTGTGTGTTAGCTTGTGTGTCAGTGAGTGTGTGTGTCAGTGAGTGTGCTACTTTGTGTGTCTGTTACTGAGTGTGTTAGTTTGTGTGTGTCTGTTAATGAGTCCGCTTGGTGTCTGTTAGTGAATGTGTGTTTGTCAGTAAGAGTGTATGTTTTGTAAGTGAGTGTGTATGTGTGTCAGTGAGTGTGTGTCTATCAGTAAATGTGTGTCTGTTAGCTAGTGTGTATGCGTCTGTTCATGAGAGTGTGTGTGGTTAAATCCCGTTCAGCAGCGCTGGGAATCTCTCTGCCCTGATCCACCTCTCAACTCCGAATGCGCATGCGCGGCAAGAGCCGCGCGCATTCAAACCGCCCCAAAGGAAAGCATTACTGAATGCTTTCCTATGGACGTCCAGTGTCTTCTCACTGTGATTTTCACAGTGAGAATCGCAGAAGCGCCTCTAGCGGCTGTCAGTGAGACAGCTACTAGAGGCTGGATTAACCCTCAGTGAAACATAGCAGAGGCTGGATTAACCCTCAGTGAAACAGCAGTTTCTCTGAAACTGCTATGTTTTCAGCTGCAGGGTTAAAACTAGAGGGACCTGGCACCCAGACCACTTCATTGAGCTGAAGTGATCTGAGTGCCTATAGTGGTCCTTTAAGTGTATGTGTATCTGTATGCACTGGTGTACATACCGCGGTTGCAGGCAGGGCTGCCATCAGAAATGTTGGGGCCCCTATCAAAGCTCATGGTCTGGGCCCCCAGAGCCCACTCATGAGTCCGCCCACAGAACGCACCCCTAAATCAGCCCACAAGGATGCAGTGTGTAGTCAATGCACAGTGTGTGTTTAGTGGATGCAGTGTGTGTAAAGTGTATAAAATAATGAAATACAATAAAACAAAAGACTACAGGTCTGTGTAAAAAAACAACAACATACACTTAAGTGCACACTGACAGCCAGATACAAACAAACACAAAGATACACACACTGATAGATACACAGATACAAACACAGATACACACACTGATAGATACACAGACACACACACAGATACACACATTGATAGATACACAGACACACACACACACACAGATACACACACTGATAGATACACAGACACACACACAGATACACACACAGATAGATACAGACAGACCCAAACACAGATACACACACTGATAGATACACAGACACAAACACAAACACAGATACACACATACACTCAGGTGCACACTGACACCCAGATACAAACAAACACAAAGATACACACACTGATAGATACACAGACACACACACAGATACACACATACACTCAGGTGCACACTGACACCCAGATACAAACAAACACAAAGATACACACACTGATAGATACACAGACACACACACAGATACACACATAAACTCAGGTGCACACCGACACACATATACAAACACACAAACTGACAGATACACACAAACACTCTGGTACACGTAGATTCATACACACTGACACTTTTTTTTTTAAACCACCCTCTTGTTTCTTACCTTTTGGCTGCAAGAGGGTGGACTCTGATGGCTGGGGTTGATGTGAGTCTGACTCTCTCTCCTCCTCTCACTCCCCAGTGCTTCCTCCCGCGCGGGTGTTAGCTGGAAGGACGTGAGCTTACTTCCTCCCAGCTCTGCCAGGATCCTTAAAGGGGCCCAGTCTAGCTATTGGAAATCCACGGCACTGATCGGGCCCCTTTAGAAATATGCCCATCGGGTGGCCCTACGGCATGGACCACCCGATGGGCCCACTCAGGTAGTTCTGCCACTGCCAAAACACATATATATAGCAATAGTTGCTATATATATGGGTGTGCACATTGGGAATAGGGGCCTGGGTGCATGGGCAGTCATGGTTGTCACCCCTGATGGCGGCCCTGGTTGCAGGGGTCGCAGCCCTGCAACCAGGTGCCCGCCGCCATGTGTTGCGGCCCTGGCCCATGCAGAGTAAGCGCAGGGGGCCTACAGAACAATTTTCGCACCGGGGCCCCATGGATCGTGTGTACGCCACTGGGACTAGGGCTACCCCTTCTAAAAGATTATCAGAAAGCTTGCAGTCTATCACATGCCCTAATTACTCAACTAGATAATGCCAAAGAACAAATATGGTACAAAATTGAACAATCCCTGATTCAGACAGAGCTACTCAAAATGGATTTGAGTATGCTATTCTCGTAAATAAAGAGTTAACAGAGAAGCCCTCCACTGGCGAAACTTGATAGTATGATTCTTGAAAATATAATAAAACAATGGGAGAAATGTAAAAATTAGTTATTCATTCAAAATAAGGTAATTCTCTACCTCCCTCTAAATTATATATTTTATAATATACATCCTGTTCCAAATTATTATGCAAATTATATTTTTCTCATTTACCTAAATAATTGATGTAAATAACAATCAGCATAATTCTCATGTTATCAACTATTAAGAGTACAATTCAAATTTTATTGAACAAACCTCCTAATGATAACAGTATTTTTTTTTAAACATAAAAAAATTACAATGCACTGGTCCAAATTATTACACACAGTAAGTTTCAAAACACTTTGTAGGTTGTAAAGAACTGAAAATTGTCATTTGTTGTGTTTGCATCATATTTACTGAAATTAAAAGCTGTTTCAATCAAACTTATAACAACATTTTAACTTTTTAAACATTTTAACAGGTCATGTTACATTTTAACATAGGACCCCTTATTTGATAGCAGCTTCACAAGTCTTGCATCCATTGAACTTGTGAGTTTTTGGACAGTTTCTGCTTGAATTTGTTTGCAAGATGTCAGAATAGCCTCCCAGAGCTGCTGTTTGGATGTAAACTGCCTCCCACCCTCACAGATCTTTTGCTTGAGGATGCTCCAATCTTTTCAAAAAGATTGAGGTCAGGGGAGGATGGAGGCCACACCATGACCTTCTATCCTTTTAAATCGGTGGTATCTGGTCCCTTGCAGGCTCTCTATATATTTTCCAGATAAAGACAATAGTTGCTAGAGATGAGGTGATCGAAAAGGTGAATTTTTACTTATGTGGTGGGATTGTCCTCCCATCAAGATGTTCTGGAATATGATCGGGAGTAAGATTCTAAAATTAACTAATAAACCTTCTGCCTATAGTACCGACCTATTCTTACTACAGCTTAATGTCAAACAAATTTTTGAAATCCACACACCTCTAGTTATTCATATATTATTAGCTGCAAAAATTACGATAGCCAGATACTGGAGATCATCTATCACCCCAATCTGGCTTGTGGCTAAGGAGCAGCTTAGATATCAACTAAAAATGGAAGGAGGTATTATTGAGGTCCCTCAAGATATGATGAACTTAGAGTTAACTCAAATAGTGCACCTTTAAGGATAAATATGCCGGAAGAGGCTTTTCCCCTTTCATGATAATCTTTTGTTTATTCTTTAGCCTGATGATTTGTCAGGTATTGACTGTATACGCTCTCCAGGACTTCCTCCCAGGAATCCTCCCACTACCATAATGGGCATTTGAAGATTAGGTATGGCCATCTTGTTGTGTCTTGTCTGTCCTTTGTTTTTCTCAGTTTGTTTGTCTTTTTGAACTTGTCTACAGGGTACACTGGTTAGAATTGTCGGTTTATAAGCTGGCTGTTATGTATTTTTCATGATACGCTTTGAATGTGGAATGATTATATAGCAAATGTTAAAGGACCACTATAGTGCCAGGAAAACATACTCTTTTTCCTGGCACTATAGTGCCCTGACGATGCCCCCACCCTCAGGGTCCCCCTCCCGCCAGGCTCTGGGGAGCAGAAGGGGTTAAAACTTTCCTTTTTTCCAGCGCTGGGCGGGGAGCTCTCCTCCTCCTCTCCGCCTCCGATCCTCCCTTTCGGCTGAATGCGCACGCGCGGCAAGAGCTGCGCGCGCATTCAGCCGGTCTCATAGGAAAGCATTCACAGTGAGAAGCACACAAACGCCTCTAGCGGCTGTCAATGAGACAGCCACTAGAGGATTTGGAGGCTGGATTAACCCTAACATAAACATAGCAGTTTCTCTGAAACTGCTATGTTTATTTAAAAAAGGGTTAACCCTAGCTGGACCTGGCACCCAGACCACTTCATTAAGCTGAAGTGGTCTGGGTGCCTAGAGTGGTCCTTTAACAACTGTAAACCACCTACCTGTTAACACTTGGATAATCGAAGTGCAGACTCAGAACAAGCCTGAATTTTGTTTTGATTTTAGCCGGAAAGAACACTGTCAGATGGCTGAAATCCAGACCAAGCCAAATTAAAATCCAAGCCAAGATGCTTCATAGCTGGGCCTAACTATTTACCCAGTGACTGCCAGTTAGAAAACTCCCAAATAGTTTGAAATAGCTAGGAAACCCTCGGCGCTTGCTGGCCAGCCACCACATAAAAATTTAAGTCTGGGTTAGTCAACTGTCTGTCGTCTGTCGTCCGGAGTGTGTATTCTGAGTCCTATCTGTCAGTGTGTTAGTAACTTGTAGGCTGTCTCTTGTGTTTTACTATGTGTAGAACAGTGGTGCATGAGGTAGCAGATGGACTCCCACTCCGTGTCTGTGAGTGTGTTGCTGGGGGCAGCCTCCCACTTCCCCATAAAGAGGGGTGTCTCGGTGGGATTTCAGTTTGTAGCATGAAGTATAGCATGGAGTATAGGAAGGATACTCCATGTGGGAGTGGGTCTGGGTATATGCAGACCACCTCTAGTGTAGTAGGGTCTCTGGTGAGTGCCAGTCCCTATGGTAGTGTGTGGACAAAGTTGGTTGGTGGGCGTATCTAAAGTGGTGCATGAAGGTCGGGGGTGTCTCCTCCAACATATCCGTTAGTTTTTTTACATTTCCCTCTCTGAAGGACGTGGTGCAAGCATGGGGATGTGTGGTGTTTGGTTTTTAACTTTGTAGTTGTGTCTTTACACAATATAGAAATATAGAAATGTATATTAATGCTTCTGTATATGAAGCAATCACAATAACACTTATTTTTCACTTTTTTTATAAAGTCTTTAGACTTTCTTGAGAAGCAGTAACTAGCCAGTGTTGCACACATACACCAGATATGAAGTGCACACCCCAAATGTACTATTTAGCAGCCAAAAAACTTGAATTTTTAAAACTGCGCTGTAAGCACAGTATTTGACGGTTCTATTTGACTCTCAAATATGAAGTGCACCTCACTAATGTACTATTTAGCAGTTTAGCACCCAGAAAATAAGAATGTTTACAATTGCACTGTAACTGCAGTATTTGACGCTTCTATTTGACTCTCAGATATGAAGAGCATGCCCCAAATTTTCTATTTAGCAGTTTAGCACCAAAACAATTAGAATTTTTACAATTGCGCTGTAACCGCACTATTTGACGCTTCTATTTGACTCTCAGATATGAAGAGCACGCCCACAATTTACTATTTCGCAGTTTAACAGCAAAACAATTAGATTTTTTACAACTGCGCTGTAACCGCAGTATTTGACGCTTCTATTTGACTCTCAGATATGAAGTGCACACCCCAAATGTACTATTTAGCACTTTAGCACTCAGAAAATAAGAATGTTTAAAATTGCGCTGTAAGTGCACTATTTGACGCTTCTATTTGACTCGCAGATATGAAGTGCACCCCACTAATGTACTAGTTTGCAGAATTCTTTCCTAATCTGTCCCTGAAAGCGGCAGCATCCTCTCCCTACACTAATAAGAGCTCATGTGACATGCAGCGTTACGTGACTCCAGCTTATATATAGAGGCTGGGTCACATGCTGCACTGGCCAATCACAGCCATGCAGTTAGTAGGCATGGCTGTGATTGCTTCTAAGGGCACACAAGTCAAATGCTTGTTGATAGGCGTTTCAAAACGCGCCATTAAATCACCGAACACAGAACTCCAACCCGAACATACACTGATATGAAAAAACTTAATGTTCGGTACGAACCCGAACTTTACAGTCTGGGTTCGCTCAACTCTAATTATTATACATTTATTTTATTTTATAATATAGTTTATAACTTTTATTTAAAAATGAAATAAATAAAAGCTTTATATCCCCTGGGGGGTCAGTGGGGGTATGGGGACGGGCCACTTTGCAAGCCTTGGTGGTTTAGTGGTGTCGAGGGAACTCTGCTCCTCTTGCGAGCTGAGCGCTGTGCCAGAGCCTTGCCATGGTATTGCGCAGCAATGCTCCAAACTGGAGGAACACACAGCCTCCCAGGACCTCTTTCGCTCCCTTTACCCTAACAAAGTACCTTTGGGCCGTTTCCCCTGCAAATAGGGGAAATGGCCCCTTCAGCCTTGCAAAGGCTGAAGACAGCAGGCCAGGCACTTTTGCAAACTAATTTTGTCATATATCGTCAAAAAACATATTGAAAAAAAAATGTACATTTACTTTGGGTTT